CTTTCTCAGGGTTCGCCTCTATGCCTCTCTGATTGATGAGGAGTCCGAGAAACTTCCCAGACTCAACCCCAAAAACACATTTCTTGGGATTGAGCATGACATGGTGCCGCCTGAGTGTGGTGAATGTTTCTCGGAAGTCCGCCAGATGGTCTAACTGAAGTTTGGACTTAACGATCATATCATCTATGTATGCCTCGACATTTCTCCCAATCTGGTCAAAAAAGACCGTATTTATCATTTTTTGGAAGGTGGCCGGGGCGTTCTTCAAACCAAACGGCATGACTGTGTAGCAATATAGCCCTTGATCAGTGACGAAGGCCGTCTTCTCCTAATCTTTCTTCCACAAAGGAATCTGATGGAAGCCAGAGTAGGCGTCCATAAAGCTCATTAAAGCATGGCCGGCTGTTGAGTCGACTTATACTGTCAATTTTGGGCAAAGGGTAACTATCTTTGGGGCACGCCTTGTTCAAGTCAATATAATCCACAAACATTCGCCAGGTACCATTCGGCTTCTTTACCAGTACAATATTTGCAAACCATTCCGGGAAGTAACATTGCCGAATGAACCCTACATCAAGCAGCTTTTTTACCTCGGCGGCTGCCGCCTGACTCCTTTCTTCACCATGGTTTCGCTTCTTTTGCCTGACCGGCTTCTTTTTCGGATCAACAACCAATTTATGTATTGCCAGGTCAGGACTGATGCCTGGCATTTCATGAACTTCGAATGCAAAGATGTCTTTGAATTCCTTCAAAAGTTGGTGAAAATCTTCACCCAATACTTCAAGAGCAGTCGTCCCAACCTTGACTGTTCGGTCAGGACGTGAGTCATCCAGCACTACATCCGTATGCTCACCAGCCGGCTGAGGGCGGAATTCATCCGACCGCTCCTCTACCAGTGATTGCTATCTTTTCTCTTTTCTCTCGGCCCCCAGTTGGGCAGCCTTTCTTTTCTTGCCGCCTGCTTTCCAAGCAGGCGCATCCTCCTTGATAAGTTCAAGGTCAGTTTCACCACTTGGGCCAATGGCCACTACAGTGGGTTTGATATCCGAGAGGTAGCACTGTCGAGCCATCTTTTGGTCTCCCCTTAGGGAGCCGACTGTTCCATCATCCTTCTCAAATTTGAGCAGCATAAGAGAGGGGATAATGACAGCTTTAGAGTTGTTCAGTGTGGGTCGTCCCATGATCATGTTATAGGCCGAGAGTTCCTTAACCACTAAGAACCGAATGACCATGTGACGGCCCTCCCCTTTCTCACCCAGGCGGATGGGTAGATCCACTCGCCCTACTAGGTGTACGACTCCTCCTCCAAACCCTACTTAAGGGTGGGATACTGGATGTATGCAATCAGTCTTGTACTTGAGCTTTGCCAAGCACTTGCTACTGATAAGATCAGAGGAACTACCGGTATCTATGAGGATCCAGCCAACTCTTTGGTTGGCCACCTTGCATTCAATGACAATGGGGTCATCATGCGGCCCCTTAACACTTCCCAGATCTTCTTCTGTGATGACAATCTCTGGGAACGAACTCTTGGTGGTCCGTTCTTGGTGAACGGAATTAACATCTAGCTGCCTGATATTGTCTTTGTTGCCCCTGATAGTGGGGCCGCCTCCTGAGAAGCTGCCTGCAATAGTGTAGACGACTGCATCATCTGTATCAGAACTGTCGGCTTGTTGATGATTCTTTTTGGCCAACTGCTTGTTCTTTGAGGAAGTGTTCCCCTTAGACTTCTTAACATAGGAGTCAAGGTCGCCTTGTTCAGCCAGGCGGTCCAGGTAGCGCATGAGGCTGATACATTCGTTGGTTTCATGACCAACGTTTTCATGATAATGACAAAATTTGTCCTGGTTCCGATTGCTTGCAGAACCCTTCATGGGGGCCGGCTTCTCAATTGAGATCCGGCTCTTGATTTCTTTGAGGATAGCCTATCTATCCTTGTTGAATGCATACTTCGAAGAGTATGGTTTGAACTCTTTCTTCTTTTTCTGGGCCGACTGTTTAGAGGAGTCGGCCGCCCAGACTTCTTTCCTTTTTTTCTCATCTTTATTAGCCGACTGCTTTGGTAGGCTTTCTTTTTTGTCGGACCTCCGCCCATCCGACTGCTTTCCAGTATTACAGAGATCAGTCGCCTGTATATCTTCAGCTTCAATCAAAGCTTCTTGGAGAGTCGCAACCCTCTTTCGAACCAGGTCAAACTTGAAGGTCAACCCATCCTTAAGACCTCTGAAAAAATCAGTGTAGGCTACCTCATCCGGCAGCCCTTGAATTTGAATCCTCATCAGGTTGAACCGCCTGATGTATGAACAGAGCCCCTCCTTTTCACCCTGCTGAATTGTCCCTAAATCAAGGGTCGTCTTCTTTGCAGGAATGTTCATAGCAAAGTTGGAGGTGAACAAGTAGGCAAGCGTCCTGAAATTATTCACACAACCAGTCGGCAGGTTACCGAACCATTGTTGTGCGATTCTTTTTAGAGTCGTGGGGAGACACTTGCACCAAGTGGGATCATCCAACCCTTGGAGGTACATTAGGTTGGTGAACGCCATCAAATGGTCTTCAGGGTTAGTAGTGCCATCATAGGCGCCTACTAGCACATTTTTAACTTTGGCCGGCTGGGCGGCCTCTGTAATTTCCTTGGAGAAGGCAGACGGCTGTTCTCCAAGTCTTAGCAACCGTAGTTGCTAGTCCAAAGGTTAGACATTTTTTTCCGCCTGTCCTCCAAACAGAGGTGGCCGCAAAAAGTATTGCTATTGCGATACGTATGGCATGTTTGGTACCGCCTGCTCTTTATGAAATCCAGACCGACGGGAGGTACCGCCTGTCTGACTCTCATAGTTTGATTGAGTATACCTCATGGAGGTATTGTGCAGACTATCTTGGAAGTTAGAAGTGGAGGCCGACTCTGACAGTCGGTCATTCTTCTTCTGCTCTAGCAATAGCCGAGCATCTGAGTATGTTTTCTTTGACCCATCCGCTTGTACATGACGAATGGGTTTTCTCTTCCCTGGTGAGGGAAAACGATACTTTGCTAAGTCAATCACAGGCGGCTCCCACTTCCTAAAGTTAGGGTGGGGGGTCGCCTCTCGACCCTGAACAGGCTTCCTTCTTCCAGACTGAGAAGGTTTCCTAGCCGACTGCTCCTTGGAGGGAGCAGGCGTCTTTTTATTGATTAATTCTTGGATCTCTCCTTTGAACCCCCTCATGAAGGTCATGAGTTCGTTTCTTGTAATAAGAGCGGATCCTTCAGCCGCCTGTTGCTGATCAGGCGGTGAGTCGGCTGGATTGCTGGGTCCAGCTTGGTAATCTACCCGTTCTTTCCTTTCGGTGTGACGGGTGCGTCGGGCCCTTAGGGTCCCATCTGAGGCTGTGTGTGCTTCAACCTCAACTTCATTCTCAGTGTCTTGGTCTGAGTAGACTTAAGGGTCGTCCACTGGACGCCTCTCTTCTGGAGTCGGTACAGACGTTGATGCCATCTCAAAATTACTCTCCCCACAGACGGCGCCAAAATGTTTCGGGGTTTTCTGATGTCCTGCGGGAGAGTTACAACTCCGAGACTGGAACCGGGCGCTTGTACCTGCAAAACAACGAAGACTCCGGGTGTGGGAGCTCCGCCTCCGACGGTCAAGTTAGAACTTGTTTAAGGAGTAATTAATGCGGAAAAAGGTAAAGTGTTTTCTCTAGGTGAGAGTAATTAATTGACGTAATCCCCCTTTAATGAGGATTAGTAAATGTATTTATAGTCTTGGGATGCGTGCCAGTCTTAAGTTTAGGTCAACCTAGGGCTGATTGGGCTTCCACAAGCCTTTGGGCCTAGGTGGCCGGTTTTCCCATTTGGCATGGGGGAGGCCACGTGGTGTGACACAAGTGGTCCATGGTGGACCGATCAACGCTTGACACGTGGCAGACTCCTAATGGACCATGTGGCGGACACATGGCAGGGCCTGATTGGTCCATTTGTCAAACGATGATTGGCTAGGGAAAAATCCCTTAATCAGAAGATACTACAGTTTGTTAGAGGATATCATCATATAGCCAATAGAGGATATCGTCCAGCCTATAAATGATATCATAGACACAATTATAAATGATATCATATAGCCAATAGAGGATATCATCCAGCCTATAGATGATATTATAAACACAATTATAAATGATATCATATAGCCAATAGAGAATATCATCCAGTCAATAAAGGATGTCATAGACACAATTATAAATGATATCATATAGCCAATAGAGGATATCATCTAGCCAATAGAGGATATCATAGACACAATTATAAATGATATCATGTAGCCAATAGTGAATATCATCTTGTCTATAGATGATATCATATACACAATAAATGATATCATCTAGCTTATATCATAGAACCAATAGAGGATATCATCCAACTTATAGAAGATATCATAAAAACAATAGAGGATATTATCAAAGTAATAGAGGATATCATCCAATTCATAGAAGATACTTGTATCATAAAAACAATAAAGGATATAAAAAAAAACAATAGAGGAGATATAATCCATCGTATAGATAATATTATAGACACAATCCATGATATCATCCAACTTATTATAGATGATATAATCTACACAATACAATTTATGTTATCAAAATAATTAAAAGGTCAACAATGGCGGAACCACCATTGAAGGTCCCGTACTAATCTCATGGGTATAATATAACATGCTCATTTCTCAAGCAAAATACATGCATTTGTTATCAAAATGCTCACAATTCAACATACAATCACATAGGACAATCAATTTCAACAATTATACATCACACAATGCAAGAAAGCCCCAAATTGATTTTTTTGGGTATTTTTCGAAAAATCCGAGAATCTCAAGCAATTATCAAGCCAATTCAAGCATAAATCATGGACAAATATAATCAACAATCTTCATTTTCTCTCTCCTTTCCATCCTCTTCAATTCAAGCATAACATGGACAAATAAAATGGAGGAATTTAGCAGAAACTTGAGGAGAGAGAAAATAAGGGTGTGTTAAAGGTGAGGGAGGAGAGAGAAAGTGAAGTAGGATTGAGTGGGAGTACTGATGGTGGTGGTGAGTGAAAATGAGGGTGTGAGAAGTTTGTATTGCCGTACAAATAATAGCTGGACTGACGAAATGTTTGGTCAGTCCAGACTGACGCAATAATTTGTGTTTCTTGTATCTACTCCGTATTTGACAATTATTTATTCCTTCCATCTTCAATTCTCCATTGTTTTTATTTTAAAATTTATTTTATATTTTATAATTTATATATTATTTAATTCGTAACTCTTGATTCAATTGGGAATGTAATTATGGGCATAGCTGTCATTTTGTAATGGGATATCAAACCACTATTCCCAAAACGCTGGGTGAAGTAGTGGTTTCAAAATTAACTGTTTGTTCCAATATGCTCTTCTAATCCACTCTTTACCAAACAGTATGAAGAGAGGATTTGAGCGGTCAAACCGCTAGCTTTGCCCCAATCCGCTAGCTTTGCCCCAATCCGCTAATTTTCCCCCAATCCTCTCTTTACCAAACAGGCCCGAAAAAGACAGGAGGGCACGCTAAACAAATAAATTCAAAAACTAAAGCAAGGCGGGCATTTTCATTTATGGGCATCAGATTTTTATTCTTCTAAAAATTCGTTTCTCTTTCAAAATTCAACTCCGCCAATCCTCAAAAGCATAGATTCTGACACATAGATAGTTTAATTTTAGCGAATAGGAATGAACTAGCTTTATACTTCAAGGTACACAAACCAAAATTTTCATTTCAATTTTTTACAATTCGAACCTAAAATTACAAATTACTGCAATTTTTCTTATACATTTTTGTTTGTTTCGGTCGAAGAGAGCAAGAAGAATCAGAAGAAGAAGCAAAAATGGTGCTTCTCAAGGTTTTCATAAACCCTAATTTTTGTACTAATTTGATTTTTTTTTTTTTTTTTGAAATTTTAATATTTATTGTGTTTATTGAAGGAAAAAACTGTTACTAGGCAAACCAAGACTACAGAGAATTGGGGAACTAGTAAGAATGGTAATGTATTTGTGTCGTTTGTTCAATTTTGTGTTTTTAGCATTTCAGTGAAGTATAGTAGTTTATTGATTTGTGCATTTTGTTGTATTGCTCTTGGGACAGTTGCTATGAGTAGATTTAAGGTTTATTCGGATAGGCAGAAGGTTAGTGGCCGTAGAAGCGATGATGCCGATGCTAAGCTTCTGTAAGTTCCGTCTTTTAATTTCATTTTTGTTCTTATTTACTCACCTTTTTCAAACTGTTTCAAATGATTATCTTGTTATATCCTTTTCTTTATATTGTACGATTCCTTATGACAATTCATGACAATTCATGTTAGCTGAACCCAAATCATTTTGGGACTAAGACTTTGTTGTTGTTGTTGTATGTGTGATTGAGAACCCTAAGACAATTGATTTGTTTAGTTTAGGGCTAGTAGATTTGTTAAGAACAAATCTTCGATAATTATGGTAGATTGGATATACATCATGAATTATATGGCCTTTTGTGTGACAGGTGGACATCCCTTGTGTCAAAAAAGAAGGTGACTCTACCGCCAAGTACCATTGGGACTAAGGTATTAAATATCCCTGCTTGATTGTGTATTTGCTGCTGAAATTACTTTGGCAGTATTTGTGCTTATGCATTCGGTACTTTCTTTTCAAGACGAAGATCCAAGTCAGTGGTGCTGAGTTAACTAGAAGCTGCCATGGTGCTCTTGGTATGGCTTTTGGCTACATGTATGACATAACTTTTCTCTTTTATGTTCTTTGACAAACTTCCCTTTTAGTGCAGCCAAGACAAAGGTTGGAAGAAAAGCATTGGCCGATGTCAGCAATATACGGAGGCAATCATCTAGATTTGAGAAACCTAGTGGTTCGAGGTGAACATGAATCATGGCTAGCATTGTTTTAACATTATACAGAATCTGTTGGATGTTGTATTTATATTAAATGGTCAAAAAGAGATCAGTTGTAATTTATATGGGGGTTTTTCTCTATTCCCGTGGTTAATAAGCTAGTACCTCACTAAAATTAAAATAAATTTGGTATGGACTAGTAAATATTTTTTCTGCTGACAACATCAAAATGCCGCAGGCTTAAAGCATACAAAAAAGTTCAATAAGGACATTCCTTTGACTTGGTTGTATGGGTATCCTGGTTATGCCAAGTTTGCTTTTGCATTGTCAATTGTTGTTTGAAGGTTTAGCAAAAATTATAATGCAATTATATGTTTATTGACAAACCTTTTCCAAATCTCTGAAGTGGGTTAATTTATCTGCAAATCTATTTTCTCATCTTGAATTTATAAAAAAAAGAATTCTAATGTGTATGGGAATGGGAACATAGTTGAACACACTAACTGTAATCAATTTTCCAGGAATTCAGTGGCTTTTGGCACTCTTACCAATACTGCTTCATCTAGTCGATCTCAAGCGGTATGCCAATTGTTTGCTAAATTACTTTGAACGGTCTTATTGCTTTAGTTTGGCATATTTAATATTGAAAGTTCAGAAAAAGTCTCTTTGTCGGCTTGATATTGAACTACTATGAACATTATATATTACTTTCAAGTATCAACTCAATATTATTCCAATGTCTGAAATGCGGTTTCCTATTTTAGCTTGGGTAAGGGGTACACATGTATGCAATTTTTACCATTGCATAATGGAGTGACTATTTCCAATTGACCCTTAATCTAAAAGTTTACTATAGTCTACTACCCGATGTATGAAGCATAGACAATGTAATGATCCAATTTTTTATTTTTGTCCATAATAAACCAAAGAAACCATGTATTGTTTTATGGTTTTACCAAAGAAAAGAAATAGTTAGGTATGCAATGCTAAAAGATCAATTTATATGTTTTATCATGTATGCTCATACTGCTCAAAGCTCAACATTAGGAAGAACCAAGAACTTATGAAAACACTACTAGAGCTTGGTATAACCTTAAAGGCTTTTGTGGTAAAGGCCAACAACCTTTTGTAAACTGCAATGCAACGGCAAATATTGCATTGTTACCTAGATGTTATTGCTTATCAGGTTTGATGGATTAAATTTTAAACTGAAACCATCATGCTAATGAATAATGAGCATTAAATTGGGAATCTACTTTTATAAAATATTTTTCATATATCCAGTGTTACTTTGTATAGTTGTATTGTGTTACTTAATGCACAAGTAATGTGCCATTCTATGTTAGCATCTTGTCATACGAAGAACCTGTTATTATTTAAAAATTTACTCTCTCCCTCCCTCCCTCCCTTTCTGTCTTACTTATTTTTTAATTTATGATGTGTTTATGAATATCATAAAGGGAAAAATGACTTTAAGTTATAATTGTGTTACAAATCCATGCTAGAGTCACTATCTCTTGCGTCCTTTTCCTTATCCTTCATGAATCTTACAGAACTGGTGCTCAAAATTTTCTATAACTTTGATTCTATCTTGGAACAGGGAAATCTTAAGGGAAACTTGACTCGAGGTGTTGCAGTCTCAAACACTGCTGTAAAAGGTGAGAATTAATTTGTGGATTTATATGGTACTATCACCATGGCTTCTTTTCTAGTAACTGTTATCCTGTGCTTTAGTGGCTACAGCTACCATCAAAGCTCAGAGGGCATCTTCAAATTTCCACAGGGTCCAAGTGAATGAAACTATTGAAAACATAACCAGGTTTTGGCTCTTTTGTGCCTTGTATTTTCTATTTGATGAACTACGAACTTGTTTATACAAACAATTGTTTCTATTCTCATAAGCTGTAGAATAATGCATATTTTTTATTACCCTTTTTGTCTTCAGGCAGATTTCTAAGAGTAGTAATACAATCACAAGGTTTGTTGCTTTCATGAAACTTGTGATTTGACTCCCTGCAAGTTTCCTTCTGTTATATTGATGCAACTTTTCTCATTATCTGTTTTGTTCATGTCCTGATTTTAAGGAAGTCTTTTCCAGTAATGAAGAAGGCTAGTCAGCTGGATTCCAGTGACATAAAGGTAGCTTCTACTGTTGCTCCTCATGAAGATAAAAGTCAGAGTTTGCTTTAGTTTACTCATAATATTTTTTTTTATTCAGGGAGCACATCCTTGTTTATGTGTAAAGCCTCAGGTTTAGTTATTGAGCAGAACTAGTTGTTCCCCGGGCAATGGGTGGTCGAGTTGTTGTATATAGTCTGACATTATTTTTTGTATTTGGTGAAAAATAAAATTATAAATTTCAAGTTATGTGATGTTAAAATACAAATTGGTTAGCTAACAATTAGTCAACTACATTTTGAAATTTGAAGTAGTTTACTTGATTTGTATAGAATATGACTTGTCTTGCATTCCACTTTAGCTTATAAAATTTATCTTAAGCTTGAAAATGTACATTAGTTTTTAAAAAATGTGCATTGAATAAAAAGAATTTTGTAAATTAGGAAAAGTACAGCAGATTTGGTTATCTAAAGATTGCAACATTTTTTCCTATTCCTTTTCTGGTTACCTATTTACCTAAGTTTTGTGTATGATTCCAATAACAAGAAAAACCATGTATTATCTAAAATAAATGAAGAAGTTATTTAGGCATTAAAGTTGTAATATCTATAAATAGTCTTTTCTCTTTATTGAGTGATTCAGAGTCATAAGTTCTATCAATGGAATAATAGTTAAGATTTTACATTAATGAACGCAAGGTCATGAGTTCGAGTGCTGAAACCAACATTTTTTTTTGTGATGAAGCAATATTAGTTAATGTGTGTGCATGACATGGCACAATGTCATGTCACTTGTTAAGTAATAGTGACACATGTAGAGATGTCATGGCTTTCCTTGAAGTTTTAACATTATATATAAGTTATGTGATATAATATTACTGGTATATATTTGTCTGACAGGGAGATAAGACAAGTGAAAAGTTAACAAAAAAATGTGGTTTCCCAAGTGAGTATAGTACTTTGTAAATTTCCCTTGGTTGAACATATAGGTATAATGTATGGAATGATTTTAACTTTCTCTCTTTATTGCCTAAGTAAAAGCAAAGGTTGGTGGAAAATTAGCTCCCCAAATGAGCAATCTCAGTGGCAAAGTTTCAAAGGAAAAAGTGAATGACAATTTCCCACCAAAGTGAGTATTACTGCAACAAACCTTTACCCATGGATGTTATTATATTGAATTTTTTTTGGCACCTATAGCGCCTTTCCATGTTAATTTTTGCATTGGTTTATGTCTGATGTTTGAAGGAAACTTTCGCTGCCTCTTTTGTTCTGTCAAACCCGAATTTCACCTGTCATTTATTCTTCTTGTTTAGTGGTCAGACTAGGTGTGGTATCTATTAGGTTGAGGTCAAGAAGTCAGCAATGATTGAGGTTTTTCTTGGATGCTCTTGCCTCTCGGCATGATTATTGAAAATTAGCTGAATTAGATCCTTTAGTTACGACTCTATGTTGTTGTTTGCGTTAGTCTCAGCTTCTCAGTGGTTTAGAAACTATGATAAGTATGCTGTTGTTTATGCTGTTTAATCATTAGAGTGTGATGTTAGATTTTTCCCAGTTTAGTGTGATAGTTATTAAGCCAGAAATGTATAGAGTTTGTTTAGCTGAGAGCAATGAAGTGAGAGTGCAACATGTTGCTGATCTTATCTGTCTCAAATCACTCGAACTTACCAATGTATGGCTAAAAGCTATGTTACATGGACTTGGGAACAGATGTCGGACACGGACACATGTCCAAGTGTCCGATCCGGCAAGTTCTAAAATTTTAGGACACGGGGATTCTGTCCGATATTTGGACACGGGTACATGGACACGTCAATACGTCACTTAAATTTATATAAATAAATTACATATTACAAAAGCTTTGAATTTTTCATTACGTCCACCCCTATTTTTTTAATCTTAATTCTTTCCTTGGTAAATGATCCTAATAAATGACAATATTCTTCCCTCCATCTTCCCTTTATCAATGGTGGTCTTTGAACAAGATGTGTTTTTCTTTCATGTTTCTCCTCTTTTTTCCTCTCCACTCTTAATGGAAGTGTCCGAGTGCACAGTGTAGGGTCGGACACGTGTCGTGTCGTGTCGACATGGATACTTCACGATTTTAGCCGTGTCCGATTAACATAGGCTAAAAGTATGCCTAGTATTTGTTTACTTTGGGCTGTGATCATGATTTGAAGCTCTTACATTGTTTAGGGTGCATTTGAGCAGATCCATTTTGCCCATGTAATTTATTAGGACAAGATAGCATACCAGTTACATTAAATAGCTTTTTGGTGAAGATGTCAGTCTAGGAAGCTCTCTATAATTGAAAGTTCATCTTTGTAGAGTATGAAGAACCTTTTCTACTCTTACATGGTATGCTGAAATAAGTACAACTTACTTATACTACACATCGAGAGCTTTTGATGTTGATGAGTTTTGTGTTTGTTTATATGTGCATGCTTGATTAGTTGCGCACCCCACCCTCGCCACCCCCCCCCCCCATGAATGAAAGTAACACCTTCAATAATTTTCTGCTTACATGCTTTTAAATTCTGTATTGTCCAGAGTGATGTTCCTTTTATGTTTTATTTTTTGAAATGAATGTGGCTAAGCTGGTTATTGGTAATAGATTAAATAAGGGGTATTTTAATTAACTGCATGTTATCCTGTCTGGTGTAGGTCACTGAGAATTCAAACTAACAAGGATGCTTTTGGAGGGGTAAAAATACCAGTCAAGGTACTTGATGATAACTGCATTCAATGAATCTCTCTCTCTCTCTCTCTCTCTCCAAAAGTGCACTTGAAAGAACTTTAGCCGATTTGTAGTAAACCTTACATAATTACTTGATATCGCAGCAGAGCACCAAGTCTAGTTGAACACTAACACACCACAATATCATCGTATCTGCTGCTCACGATAAAGCACTTTATTTTTGCTTATATTTTTTGGAATTTGGGGGTGTTAGTGATAGATTATTTTATGTTATTTTGAACTAAAGAGTTGCCAACTTTTGTTTTCGGATATCCTATAAAATAACTTTCATTATCATAACACCATTACTTTAAAGATGACAGAAAGTAGAAAGTAGTATCAAGCACCCCCAATTTAAATCAAGTTCAAACAGATGAATTGATAATTTGTACAACTAAATACCATTTATATGGTAATTCTGCTAAGATTTTAAAATATTAAGTACTCTGTATATTTATTTATTTTTAGATTTTCCGTATAAATATAACAATCACCATACTGCCCTTTGGCAACAAAGTGATGACCAACTAACAACTGATCAGGTCATTTATCAGTTTTAATGTTGTGATCACTAAGAAAATGAATCAGCAAAGATGGCAGTATGGCACTTTTTGAAAACAAATTTGTTTTGATAAGGTACTTCCTTTTTTTTTTTTTTACTTGCAACACGTTTCTTTTAAGGGTAATGTTTAATAACTCTAATTACATGCAACCAAGCCATATTTAGTAAGTTTGATGTGGCAAAATATCAATATTGCCCTTACTTGGACACCCTCCCGACTACCACTCTCTCTCCTCAACCCTTCCCCTCCCCCTTCCCAGACTGCCCTCCTCCCACCCAACCACTGCAGGTGCTCAACAGCACAACTCTGCACCCTAGAAACATCACCCCTTCGCCTCCCACAACCCACCCAAATAACCACAACCAACCCTGAAATTACCCCACCCACCCCAAAAAACTACCTCACCATCTCGAAAACAACCTCACCCACTCCAAATACACCCAATGCACTGCAAAACGGCCCTAACCACCTTGTATAACCACTTCACCCATGCCAAAACCACCCAAGCCACCCCTAAACAACCTTAATCACTCTCGAAAACCACTCGGCCAAAGCACCCTCGACAACCACCCCCGCACGTCAAAATCACTTCACCCACCAAAAAAACCACTTCTTCCACGCTAAAAGCCATCTAACCCACCCAGAAACTACACGAACACCCTAAAGTTAACTCTAATGGTGGGGGGAAAGTGGGTGAAGAAAGGCAGCAGGCTGGTGTTTGGGCTAGGTCAGGAGGGCTGGTGGAGAAAATCAGAAAATGCTTGATTGTTGTTTTCATGGAGCTAGTAGAGAGGAGAGAGAAGGTAGACTTGTGGGCAAATTAGTCATTTTGACTACATATCTACTTTTCCTTGGTTTATGTTCCAACTCATTAGGTTGCAAGTAAGAAAAAAAATAGTTTTTTTTTTTTTTTTTTTTTTTTTTTTTTTTTTTTTTTTTTTTTTTTTAAAGTTAATATTTAAAGGTATCACTTCTAGAAATTTTTTTACTAGAGGTAATTGATACTAAATTTCCTTTAGGGAAGTGTCCCAAATATGTGTACGTTCAGCTAATTACCCCAAGGAATGGTCAAGAAAGCCTTCCTTTTGATGTTCTCTTAGTGAATGTTCTCAGCTATCTATATAATCCTTAACTGGGGTGCAAATTGTGGATGTAACTTTTCAGTTGATGCAGCTTTATAATACTTAGTACTCTATCTCAACTTAGCAACTTATGAATCCTGAAGTGAAAAAAAGTTGTGAAGAGATGTATAGAAGTAATTTAGTAGATTTATTTGGTTGAGTTATCTTTGGACCTTGATTAGTGATTGGTCTTACTCCATCCAGTCTATGTAGTGAAAGTTTTGGAACACCCATCACCGGTGCTTGAATCAAATAGGGTAAGGAAATCTATGCCTTGTACTCCTGTAGTGGTACAGAATGAAATTAAAATTTCAGAGTTGCTTGGAAGGTGATTCTTGCCCTTTGATTATTGATAATTTCCTGTTAGTATGATTTGTTGTTATGTGTGTATGCAAGTCACTCACGTGCTCTTATTTTATTTAATGTGAAGTGGATTTAAACTCTTGTGTATATCTGCTGAATATTTATGTCACTTGAGTGAAATGGCAATAGCTTGTCTGTAAAAAAAAAAAAAAAATACCTTGTAACCAATAAGCATCCTGGTGAATGAATTTGATAGTTTCTGTTTTGGGTCAGATTTATAATGTAAAAGATTTGAATTCCTAGTCTTAGTTCATTTAGCTGTGGGTGGGGCACATTTTCTTGGCTCAATGCCCCAAATCAATTATAACTGGAAATCCAGTAACTATATTGAACTCAAAGACAGCTTTATACTTCCTGCGTTCCACAAATATTGCAACAATTACCTACCATTTTAGGAAGTTTTTCAAATACTGCAACAATTCCCTATTTGCACATGTTTTCTTTCTCTCTCCTCATCACACCAGTCCTTATCTTTATTCCTCTCTATCTCTCTCTCTTCTTAATATTCGTGTCCCATCCCCATGTTGCAATATTTAGGGATCGGAGGAAGTTTACTTAGTATTCTGTCTTAACTTAGCAAATTTTGAATTCTAAAGTATTGAGGTTGTTGAACATTACTTCACACTGAATTAAACTATTCGTTTTCATTGTTCAATCTGTGTCTTGATGCAGACAAGGGGTTGACAGGGCCTTAATATTTTCCATTTCTTTTCACCATCTGCCTTTTTTTGTGGAAGTAGCATAATCACACTATACCTATTTTAGTAAATCTTTCACATATCAACTACCCAAATACCCTGAGCCCCTGAGTGACAATGCCTTAGCACTCTTACCTAGTTGGGCTTTTTGGATAAATCAAACAGGTTCTGTGGTCCCCCCTTCCCCCTTTTCCTCCCAACACACATGGTTCAACAATTAAAAAGGAGGAAGTATCTTAGATTCGTGGGTTTTGAGATTTGTGCATTTGATTGAGGCTTTGTTCTTGGTGTTTGATTCTTCAGAGACTATAATTTTTCTTTCTTTCTTTCTGTTCTAGCAATCTGAATGATGCATTTATCTTGTAATTCAGCCAATTGCAAGAAACCGATTACAAATTTCCAATGACCACAATAAATCTAAATCCAAGAGCATCTGTAATTTGGAAAAATCATGTGGTACAACACCTGCCAGAAAAGTGAAGGTTGCCAATTCTGTTGCAAAAACTTTGAAGAGTACAGGTTCTCGTGAAGAAGTTGCTGGAATAGGAATTCCAGCAAAAAGCAGTGACAACTTGCAATCACAGTCATCAGAGACTACTGTCAGCATAAACACGGGGCGCAGAAAATCATACACATATTCGCTTATATCAAGATCAAAGGTCAAACCCAATATTCATTATTTATTTCCTCAACTAGCATTTCGCGGAATCTAATTAAACAAAAAAATGGATGAGTTGTGCAGCTTCTAAAATCAAGCAGTGAAGTCAGGGAACATGAACTGTTGCCGAATATTGATGATGAGGGTAATCCTCTTGAAGTTGCAGAGTATGTTGATGACATCTATGAGTATTATTGGATAATGGAGGTGATTATCATCCTCTTCATCAGTTTCTTATCCATTTTTTGTAAAATTGATATGTCTAGGTATCTACCTATATTTCGGTCTCTAGAATATTTAATGCAGCTAAGCAGAATTCTTAATTAACGTGTATAAATTGCTACCTTACTAAGACTATAGGCTAGCTTGACTTGCTACAGCTAAAAGACCTGATATTGAAAGTGTCTTTCTTCTTAGTACTTTGAAGCACAGTTTGTCTTCTTTGCCAATTCCCTTAGATTTTGATTTTGGCTACATAGCTGTTAAGATAATCTGTTTATGTAAAACTTGCAATACTCTTCTGCATTTTCCTGTGGAATAATTTCTGACAATTAGCAGGTGTAATTTGTAATTATATTTCTGTAAAGATTTTTGATGAACATATGTATTTATTTGAATCAGGAACTGTGAAATTGTGATTGTTATCACCCTGGGCTTTTTAAGAACAATATGTGGATGTAGGACTTTGGAACACATAGAAAAGCTTTGGACTAGAGAGTGCCTTTTGAGCATGCTATATGTTTCATGACTTGGACAGTTGCCATTTCTCTTGAAGAATGTTTTTAGACAAGATAATTGATTTCCCTTGTCCTTATGCAAGGGATGCCCATCACTTTTTGCCTAAAAAATGGTTTACTACTGGAAATTGTCTCGGACATGAAACTGTGGGCATGAATTGCTAATTGGCAGAATTCTCTGATAGTTACAAAATATCATTGCTCTTCTTAGCTTTAGGCAGGTCTTGATAAGGGGTTATATTCATTCCAATTGATTTGTTTTGAAGTAATCATTTTATTTACAAGAATTAGTCATTTTTTTTTTCAGGCACAGAGTACACTACCAGAAAATTATATGATAATTCAAACAGATGTTACTCCACAAATGCGGGGCTTATTGATTAATTGGCTTATAGAGGTAGGTGGCTAATAGTTGGGGAAACCATTTTATGCAATTCTCTTAAGCTTTATGTTATTTTATACAATGTTTGTTCTTTAACAGGTACACTTCAAATTTGATCTGATGCCAGAAACACTTTACCTCACAGTAGCTCTGCTGGACAGATATCTCTCAGTAGTTTCAATAAAGAAAAATGAATTTCAGTTGGTTGGTCTTGCATCCCTTTTACTTGCATCAAAGTACGAGGATTTTTGGCATCCAAGGGTGGGTAGTGATATATACGAAGTGTATATATATATATATATATTTTCCCTTGTGCTTTTAATGTAAAATATTTTCTTACATTGTTTATTTGGCTTAGGTCAAAGACTTGATTAGCATCTCAGCAGAGTCATATACCCGAAAGCAAATGCTTGAAATGGTATGTCTTTGGATTTGGTGAAGTGTTTAACTTTTGCTAGTAATAATATCTGGCAAATATAACATGTCAATTGGAAATTCATACAGCTATCGATGCCCATTGTTCAATTATATATTTTATGCAGGGGATTATGGGAACTCTTCTCCAGTTGTGATTCATACTAGGGAACATTAGACCAATTCTGAATATTATGTAGTTAATTTCCTGGATTTTTAAATACCTTTGGGAACTCTAGTTTTGATTTGTGTTTTCGTTCTGTATTTATATTTGCAAAAAAGTGGCTTTGATGCTTAACTTATTCACAGGAAAAGAGCATCCTCAAGAAGCTAAAATTTCGGTTGAATTTGCCAACAGCTTTTGTCTTCATGCTAAGGTTCCTCAAGGCTTCTCAGTCAGACAAAAGGGTGTGTTGATTATTTATATAATCTTGTTTTTACCTTTTTCCTTGATTTCTTTAGCTTCTAACTTGCAACTTTTTACCTTGGCTTCCAGCATGAACATCTCTCATTTTACCTGATCGAGTTATGCTTGGTTGAATATGAAACCTTGAGGTTCAGACCATCATTGTTATGTGCTGCAGCTGTATATGTTGCCCGTTGTACCCTAAATGAGATTGCAGGATGGACTTCATTGCTTGGAAAGCATACACATCATGAGGAACATCAAATCAGGCAAGTTATCACCATTGAGCTTTGCTGTCAAACCTTTATGATTTCCCCCATGACTTCTGCAGCTTACTGATTGATTTTCTGCAGGGATTGTGCGGAGATGATTCTCCGAATCCACAAAGCTGCAAGTGCAGGTCTTTTGAAGGTCACTTATGACAAGTATATACAGCCAGAGTTTGGTGGTGTTGCAGCTATCAAACCTCTGGACACTCTTCCTCTTTGAAGCCTTCTATACCTCCTGTGGTTTTTAGTGGGCAGTGTAGCTTGTTGTTAGTCTCTCTTTTTTGGTTTGTGCTGTATCTAAGTTTCTGATTCGGTGATTCCTTGTCAGAATTTGTGTATAATATCTTGCACACATGTACATACACAACACATTAAACATTGAGGCATTGTGCAGTAGACTTTTTGACTGTACGATTGTGTAGACTTGCTCTTTATATATGTACAACTTAAACTCTAACTAGTGAAGTAGGGATGCAACCAATTAACTCATCTATTTGACCAGTTTGAGATTGCTGCAGAATCTAATTAAACTAAGTTTTTTTTTTTTTTTTTTGAAGAAATTAAACTAAGTTTATACTATGTATGAATATGAGATTGCTCTGTATTACACTTGGGCTTTTGAAGCTCAGCCCAAGTTGCTGCTGCTGTTTGGTGTCATTTTTGTATCACTTCTACCACGTATTGATTATAAGAAGCGAGGCAAGCCTCTAAACATGCTCAATCACCATAAAAAGGTGTGGGTTTGTGGCTCGAAGATAAACGGACTTCGTAGGCACCTCATTCCCATTTATTAGCTTTCTTAACGATACTAATGATTTAACTCGTTAATTGCTTCAATTATTTTTTTGGTAAATTGTAGCTAAAATGAATGAAAATGCAGAATCAATGATGTCCGATGATCAACAAAATGAATCATTTTTGAAGTTCCAACAGAAAAGAAAGGACCATAAAAAAGGAGAAAACACAAAATGTGCTAATGAGAATAGAACTGGTTGGAAGGCTAACATTCGATTCAAGAGAAGAATATGGCGAGTATTGTGTTATTCAATATAACGTAGAACACAATTAGGAGTTAGTCAATCATTCAGAAAAACATCACTTGAAATCTGAAAAGGAAGATATAGGAAAGGTGATTGAAAGGGTGATTGAGAATTATATAATACCATAAAAACTGGCCAAATGCTGTACCTAGAACTTAAGTGACCACCAAGGTTAAATCCATTAGTGGATAAACCCCAATCTAATATTTCGAGCATTGATACAAACAATTAAAAGATTTCTAAACTTCTGCATCAGTCGGGTGCCTCAATTTTTTTTTTCCTTGCGACCTTCTTTATGCCATCACATATGATGAGCTAGCTTAGAAAAGACAAACATCCTTTGCAACCTTGGAATAAAAGGAAAATGATGCAACTCTAATTGTGGCTCCTCCCTAAGTTTTGGGGTCCCTCATTTTCAGTGTTAGAATTACCGTCAACACTTCGAGAAACTTGTCTCTCTTTCCACTTAGATGCTCCACATACATGATATTCATTCTTCCCCTCATCCTCTTTCCAAAACAAAACACAATGATTAATACAAGCATCAATCTTGACATAGTCCAACCTTAATGTTTTAGTGTATTTTTTTTATTTCATAAGAATTTTAGGGAAGGAAACATCATAGTTAAATGTCCTGTGTACGTAAGTAATGCTTGGAGTAACAATGAAAAGGATTATCACTCCATTCATTGCTAACTTTGATGTGAAGTAATGTAACAATAAACTCTAACTTCTTAAATGTTTTACATCCAGGAGTTTCTATTCTCAAACTTGCATTAATTTTTGAAACTCCTTTGGCATCATATTACTAGCTACCCTTTCGTTCATATTTAACATCACACATATCATCATGAGGGATATCAAAATTACATGTATCTCCATGCGTCTAAGTTGCATTAAGAAGTAAGGAAGTTAATTCATCACCAGCCATAATATTAGCATTATTAACATCCATATCAACACTTGATATGTAATGCTCACGTGCACACTCCTTATCATAATTCATGTTTTGCTCCAATTTCCCCCCATGATGCACCTATGAGTAATAATCCCTTACTATTCCTTTAGCTATTAAGTGACATTCCCTTGTAACACGATTGTGATATAATTGAAAGTTGCAATTTAAACAAGGACATCTTAATTTAGCTCCGTTTTCACTACCACTAAAAGCAAGCTCCAAAAATGAGTCTAACCCTACATATATGAAGGCTATTTCCTATCGTTAATTCCTTTATATGATTCATCCAACTTTGATCCATATTCCGAAATCAATTATGTCATTAGAAAACCTAAAAAATAATTTGTTAAATACAAAGGGTACACGAAACCTTTCATAATTAGCAAATTTGATTATTAACAACACAAAACAATCTATTTAGTGGATTCAAAACTATTGCATATAAATAATTGAACACCATATATATATATATATATATATATATATATATATATATATATATATATATATATATATATATATATATATATATATATATATATATATATATATATATATATATATATATATATTTGTAAGTATATTGCATACCACGAGCATCAGACCTAACATTTATGATGCAAGTTTAAACTTAACAATCAGATTATTAAATAAACAAATTTATTGATTTTACAAATTGAAACTTTATTGTATACACAAGAAATCATACATAAAATCATAAAAAATAATTTAGTGTTTAGTATTATCAACAAGTTGACCAAATTTCTCTGGATTCAGAGTAAAACTTGTTGGAATATCTACCTATACTTAATATATTATATTATGTAATAGTATAAGTGAAGTATACTAGATTTTTACTATAATATGTTAAGAAATTCTAGCAATTCAATGGAAAAACACCATTGATGAGTGAAGAACAGTACTTGGCTTAACAGAGGAGAGAGAGAAAGTGATTAAGAGGAGAGAGAAAGTTGATTTTTATTTCTAAATATCAATGAATGTGTCTATTAAAAGATAACATGCTATTTATATCCTGTAACTACACTAACAATAGGCCTAACAACCTAACAAACTCATAACAACTTGCTAACGAACTTGCTGACTCAGCTAACAAACTTGCTGACTCAGCTTAGACTAACTAACTCCTATTACATATAATTTGATTCTATTTATTGATTTTTCATTGTTTATAATTGATTTTGGTGCAGGATTTTGATAGTTCTCAGTTGAGCAATCAAATGCGGCTATCAAATCTGAGATTGATATATATTATGAAGAGCTACTTATCCCTCGAACCACCAACATTGATATTTTGTCTTATTGGAGAACTTGTTCGCGGTACATTACCCTATTCTAGCTCAACATGGTAAGGATGTTCTTGTTGGGTTTCGTAGAGTGCGACTCTACGCGGAAGAGAAACCCGCCCAAAACCTGCCCACTAATTAAGGCAACTAAGCATGCAATCACATAATTAAACATTAAACAATAAACAAGAGAAAGAGAAAAGATATTCTTACCCTTGACGCGTGCTTCGCTCGAACCCGAGCTCTTACTTGAGAAGCTAAACCTCGCAAGCGCGACGGTCTCCAACGGCTCGTACCTACAAACCCGACCCGAACGGTCCTAGTCCCGAAGGTTAGTCAGGACTTGACCAATAAAAACTAGAGTATTACGAACTTAGGTTTTCTCACTTTTTTAAGGAGATGCCTTTTTAGTTCCACTCAAGTGTTCTTCCCAAATCCCAAAACTTGGGTATTTATAGGGAAAAGAACCTTGATTTCCCATTCTCAATTAATGTGGGAGATTTTCAATTTTCCTATTTTATTTTAATCAAAAACAAAATGGAAATGCTAAATCAATCAACAAGTTACAAGTGGCAATGGGAAGAGAGGGAGAAGGTGAGGACCACCAAGGGAGGGGACCAATCCACCTTGCTCCCCAAGGCAAACACCAACCATTGGACCCCACACAAAAACCGGACCACTCCTCCATATAGCTGGCTGGCAGCCCAGCCAGCCAGCTAGCACATCGCCAGCTAGCCCGCAATGCATGCGCAGCCAGCCAGCACACAGCCAGCCATCACGCATGCCTCGCTGTTTCTTGGTGCGTGCTGCTAGGCGCTGCTATGCGAGGCTGCTGCTTGCTAGCACACACGCACAGCCCAGCATGCCCAGCACGCTGCTGGCTGGTGTGTGGTGCTGTGCGATGTGCGACGCTGCTGCTTGCAATGCCCCAGGCCCTAGCACGCTAGCAAGCACGCAAGGAACCATGCTTGCTTTGCTTGCGATAGCAAGGCCCAGCAAGCCTAGCATGCTGCTGGCCTAGCGATGCTTGCGAGCTAGCATTAGGCTTGGTGCGTGGCCCTAGCATGATGCGATGGCTTGGGCTGCTATGCTAGCACGCCCAGCCATGCATAGACACACGACACGCATGCACGTATCTTGCGATGCTTGTGCCATGTATATGCGTGTGCTAGGGGATGCTAGGCACGCATAGCTTGGGACCTTGCCTAGCCTAGCACTCACATGGCTAGGCCAATGTGAGGCTACGGCTAGGCTCAAACTTGTTGCTTGTTTGATTTCACGTCTCGTTGAATTCTAAATTCGACTCGACTTGCGACGCTCGGTCTCGACGCTCTAAGCTCGATATCTGACGTCTTTGTTTGTAATATTCTGATGACTTATCTAATCCTTCGGATTGATTTGTCGACCCGGATCGGTTGTTCGATTGGGTTCGACCCAAAGGGTTCAGTCAAGATTAAGCTGTAATATTAATTGTACATTAATATTACTGATTGGAAGCGGCCTCCACCTAGGCATTCCGATCACTTGACCTCACTGAAGAATTAGCTTTCTAATAATTCTGAACCCTCTATCGGAATAATACACTTGTTGGAAGGACACCATTCCTTTTAGTTCTTGTTGTCCCTGTATCAATCGCGGCCTCTAAATTAACTTTTAGTACCGGAAGTCGAGTGCTTGATTGTTATAGAAGTTCTTTAAAATTAGAAACCGTGGAGGCTATCGTTTGCTTAAGGGATTGGGCTTTTGGGTAAGGTAATAAATGATTTAAAAACAAAACTTCTAACTTTTATTTTTTGTACATGTCATACACTTTTTATGTAAACTTGGTTCATATTATTTTTGGTAGCAAATATGGATCCTCAAATGGAAATGTTGTGGAGATCAATTATGAAACTTAAGGTGTGGGGGGTAACGATGACACGCCACATACATCACTTGAACTTGAACCCGTTGATGAAAGTTCTATTGCATCTTCCACAATGTTTGAAAATTGTCATATGAATTTGTGTTTAAAAACATTTGTTGCTTTTGAGTTCCAGTTTGTAATTCATTAAGGCCTTGTTTGGTAAATAGCTTTATGGAGAGCTTTTAGCTTATTGTGCCTCATTAGAGGTTATTATTTAAAAAAAGCTTATTAGGGTTTTTGGTAAATAAC